GATTTTATCGGTTTGAAGTTTGATCACAATTAGTCTCGTTTTTAGCTGACTCCATGACTGACTGCGCATAATACTTTCATTTCCTTCTATGCACACGATCTCCTCCATGTCACCCAGAGGTATCCTCAGTGTCTCCATTATGCATAAGATTTTATTTTGATAAATCACACACTGCTATACAGCACAAACTATTACTGCTTATCATCATATCAAGTTACTCACACACAACTTCTTTCCTTCATTTATATACATGTGTGAAATTGACTAGATATTGGAATAAAATTCAATATAGAATAATGTACATTCAGAAATAATAATATGAGTGTTTACAGGATTTCATCATGAGCTGACATTAGTTAGAGAACCATTGGAAAACCTGGGAGTACTGGAAAGCTATTTCGTCCTGGTTGGGGACTCTTCATCAGTACTTACCCACCACCAGGTGTTCAAACCCAGGACCTTCTGGTTACCAGGCGAGTTCGTATACCATTAGGCCACTGAGACCCGATCCAATGGCCCATGAATTCTAACTTCTGCCAATTCATGACATAGTGAGAAGTCGTGACCAGTAGGGTGCAGCAGGTCGGGTGTGAGGACAAATACTCGCCGAAGACATCGGCTAGGGGTCGCGCTATGTCGTAAAAATTGGCAAAAGTTAGAATTCATGGGCCATTGGATCGGGTCCCAAAGGCTTAATGGTATACGAGCTCGCCTGGTAACCACAAGGTCCTGGGTTCGAACCCCTGGTGGTGGGTGCTTACTGATGAAGAGTCCCCAACCAGGACGAAATAGCTTTCCAGTACTCCCAGGTTTTCCAATGGTTCTCTAACTAATGTCAGCTCATGATGAAATCCTGTAAACACTCATATTATTATTTCTGAATGTACATTATTCTATATTGAATTTTATTCCAATATCTAGTCATTTTCACACATGTATATAAATGAAGGAAAGAAGTTGTGTGTGAGTAACTTGATATGATGATAAGCAGTAATAGTTTGTGCTGTATAGCAGTGTGTGATTTATCAAAATAAAATCTTATGCATAATGGAGACACTGAGGATACCTCTGGGTGACATGCAGGAGATCGTGTGCATAGAAGGAAATGAAAGTATTATGCGCAGTCAGTCATGGAGGCAGCTAAAAACGAGACTAATTGTGATCAAACTTCACACCGAGAAAATCCCTGCAAACCAACACTTGAATATGAGTGTTTTGATCAATTACAGTCAGATAGGAAATAAGACGAGTGTTTGTTTAGTCATAATAAGTAACTTGTTAGAATGTTGTGATGTACGTGAATTGAAATAGAAATTTGAAATTATTCATTATCCTCCTCTGGTTTGACTGACTGGTGGTAATAATATCTTCCATATTTCTGGTATTTGCATTGAGTCATTTCTGTTGCATGTGTTGGGTATAGATTCAATGAACCAGGATTCAGTAATCAACCGCTCTCTCCACCTACACAGATTACTTCTTAGAATCTTAACCGTCTCCCACCCTATTGTGTGGTTTTGTGTTAATGCATGCATGCAGTGCAACTGCTGAGCTTTTTTCTAAATTACTCATCTTCTCGGGGTCAACCATTCTTACCTTGGCAAATTCTTATATTCCGACAATCTGATTACCCCCGATCGACTAGTTTGACCTATATATAGTTGATCTCACAGTCATTGCAAGGTATTTTGTAAATTATATTATTTTGTTTAATTGGGTCCACCGGGTCTTTTAGCCTACAGAGCTTGTCCCTGAGTGAGTTTGTAGGTTTGAATGCCACCCTAATTCCTGCTTTATTTAGAATCCTACGTAGGGTCTCAGATGTCCCCTCTTTATATGGTATAACAGTAGATGCCTTATATTCTCTCTTATTTATGTTATCACTACTAGTTTCACAATTATTTTTATTTTGCTTTTGGCCTTTTCTGATCTTCCTAATGAATTTTATAGGATAGTTATTTGATACCAACGCTTCTTCTATCTGTTTTATTTCATCATTTAGGTCTTTTCCTGTGCTACTGCTCGGTTTGTTAGACACTTAACTAAGCCTGCTTTAACAGTTAACGGATGAGACGAGTTAAAGTCTAAATATCTATTAGAATGCGTTGGTTTTCTATTCGTTGTATTTTACAATCTAATATAGCTAATTCTACTTGCTCATTTTCCTATTCAAATGCGAATTTTCTTCCCCTTACTAGTGAGTCTATATGTTTCAAGAAGCTAGAGATAATTAAAACAATTAGTCCCTTTGATAAATTTGAATAAGGCATTAAGAAGACAAATTTCGCGAGATGATATCGTCATTTCGTAGTTTCTTTACAACCGCTTTACAACTAACATGGTTAACAATAATAAAATAAAGTTCATGACAATTACTCAGTTAAATAAAATACACAAAAGTACATACTAATGACCAATCATACTTTGATAGGTCAAGTAGTCCATGGTAGGCGAAAATTGAAGTCTATTGTTTTTTGTACACACAGTTTAGGCTGTATGTGATTAATCCAGAGTGCTTCCATCACCTCCAATAACCTTGAATTAGAGTTATGTGATGAAATAATTGTGAAACAGTCATTAATATTGACTTCGTGACCTGACATTAATAAGTGTTTTGCAATGGATGATGCTGGATTTCTATTCAGATTACTGGCATTGGGATTTTCTATATGATTTAGTGGCCATTTTGGAACATGTTCTTTCCGGCGACATTGGAACATTCTGTTGGTTCTACCCATATAGGTGTCACCGCAGCTGCAGATGAACTTGTAGAGTCCACAGAATTTCGTCCTTTAATCGTAGATACAGGGATCGAAAATGTTCGGCAAGTGAGAAAAATACTGAATAATGTCAGGTCACAAAGTCAATATTAATGACTGTTTCACAATTATTTCATCACATGACTCTAATTCAAGGTTGGTTATTGAAGGTGATGGAAGCACTTTGGATTAATCACATACAGCCTAAACTGTGTGTACAAAAAACAGTAGACTTCAATCTTCGCCCACCCTGGACTACATGACCTATCTAAATATGATTGGTCATTAGTATGTACTTTTGTGTATTTTATTTAACTGAATAATTGTCATGAACTTTATTTTATTATTGTTAATCATGTTAGTTGTAAAGTGGTTGTAAAGAAACTACGAAATGACGACATCATCTCGCGAAATTTGTCTTCTCAATGCCTTATTCAATCTCATATTATTATTATTTCTGAATGTACATTATCCTATATTGGTGTTTTTTTTCAATATCTAGTCAATTCCACACATGAGTAACTTGATATGATTATGAGTGGCAACAGTTTGTGCTCGAAATGTGATCATCAGTTAATATAACTGTATAAAACTCTGTGTGATTTACCAAAATAAAATCTTATCCGTAATGGAGTTTTACTACTGATTAGTAAAACTAAGATAGGTTTATCATTTTTTAAAATCTTTATTTAGGCTTCATCCCACACAGTATATTTGGTACAGCTATGGAATTTTTTCAGCATGTGATATTGGTAGCCCAAAATTCAGTAAGCCGACCGGTCGGGGATCGAACCCCGGACCATGTTCATGCTCGGTGAGCGTCTTAACTACTGTGCCACCGACGCAGACACGGTGTACGTGTGTCATCTAGAAATCGAACCAACCCACCCCACCCTCTCGTATGACTGGTGAGTATTCTGACATCAAGTAAGCAGATAAAATAAAGGTGCATTGTTTACCCTACATTAACATTTAGATTTCAGAAGAAAAAGTCGAATCACGTATCTATCTATTATTATTATCATCATTATTTTTTGTTTGTTTGTAATGGATAAAAAAACAACCCGCCTTTTTTAAGAAGAAAAACAGAAACAGAGAGAGAAAAGAAAAGGAAACAGAACAGCCAACAACGCACAATCAGTCTTCCCCATTGGCATTCTTTGCTATACACATATCAGTCCGTTTTTTAAACACTAACAACATACAAACATATGGCGAGCGCACATACGCTCACATACGTACGTAGGTCACACTTGGTGGATAGTGAGTGATAGTGAGTGTAATAATAAAACTCCACAACCAGCACCAGCACCACACCACTGAGCAGCAGTCAATAAAGTAGCACATTGTTAAAAAATAAAAGAGGCAGGAGAATAGAAAAAACATGTCAGCGTTATCATTATCATCAGCTGAAATGAATAGTGATCAAAACGAAAACAAAAGAAAACAACAACATAATTTAAATAATGAACATCAAGAATTTGAATTAATTAAACAACAACCAATCATTCGCTGTTCCGCCCACGCAGCACCCCGCAGCCATTAACGAAACGGAGAACAATAGTAATAATAATTGAGTCTGTTCCCCTCCTCCCCGCTTTCCTTTCCCCTTGATTACGTAACAGCAACAACGAGAACTTTTGATTGGTTAAAGAGAATAGAATTATGCATGATACCTTAACAAATAATGTCTGTATGTGTAAATGAGTCAATGATTGAGTACTATTCATAAACAAACATAAACACCCACACAAACAAACAAACAGAATTTTTGTTTTAATATTCGCCTAGATAAAAATAAAACGGAAGGAGAAGAGGACGAAGTAGAGGCAGAAGAAGAGTGAGTGTTCATCAAAAATGACTAAGCAGTAAATATATAATAATAATAATAATAATAATAATAATAATAAAGACGATTCCTATACGCGGCGTATGCTTGTCTCTCAAGTTTTTTTTAATAACAAAAGAAAAGAAGAGATTGAATTTGTGAATAAACTTGCTAAAATTTTATTTTTTTTAAAACTTATGCATATGTATATCCCCCTAGTGAATAGTATTAATAATAGTAATAGTAGTAGTAGTGTGTCGACGTATGTCACAGAATACTGGATAACAACGAAGGTGTGAAGGTGGTTGATTGCTTGATTCATATATATATATATATATATATATATATAAGATTAAATGGGGTTGTCTTTGTGTAAAACACTCCGAAATAACAATAATAATAATATTAACAGTTATATTAGTAACAATAAAAATATACATAGAGATTGAACACAAAATGCGTTGAGAAACGGGAGGGAGAGAAAGAAAGAGCCATGCCAATCAGAGGAGATTGTAAGTAAATTAATTATACACATAAGAATTAGGGGTGGGGGAAAGTTGGGCATGGCTTTGTTGATGTCTTCGCTTTTTCCTCTCGCCAAACCAAAGGGTTATCTGATTAGTAGTCATATTATGTTTGTGATGATTGGTTGTGCATATATGTATAAGAATACTGACTGATTTTCCTCTGTATGTATGTGTATAGGTATATATATGTAGGCATGTAAGCGTGTCATACACAGAGGGTGTTTGTTCTTAGAAAAGTTTCAATTTTCAGGAAATACACACAGAGAGAACAAAGAACAAATAAATAACAAAATAAAGAAATTAACAGTAGTATTAGTAGTAGTAGTGTAGTGTAGAGTAGGAGTAACCGAGATAATAACATGATTCATCCCCACCACACCCCACTCCTCTCTCTCCCTGTTGTAATTTACCAGTGAATTCCACTAAGAGTCATCATTGATACTTGAGGTGGTCCAGATCGGGTATTTGAAAAGAAGACCTTTATTTTTTATAGGAAACAAAATAAAGAAAGGTTAATAATAGAGAAAATTTGTAGCTCAGGTGGATGATTTGCAATTAATTAATAGTGTTCTCTAAGCTGGTTGGTTTAATTGCGGAGCTTTCGTCGTCCCTCTGCTGGACAACATCCCCCCCTTCAGCGCAATATTTAGCATAAAGTGAAATGATTTAAATTTTTTTTTCCATGAGTGATAGAACTGCGTCTCCTGGCGACCAACCACCTTTACATATCTATTGATCATTTTCTATTGACTTGGATTTTTAACTTTCTCGTAACATGATTTACTTTTTATTAGTTGGTATATTTGATCTATATGTTAACATGTTTGTTAATCGCTGGCTGATTCTTTTGAGTACCAGGCTTCTAGAAATTCCCTGACTGCACTTTTGGTGTTTCCTCTGTTTAAGATTTCGACATTATCGCAATCAAATTGATGACCATAATTGTCTATATGCATTGATACTAAAGAATACATATATCGTGTCTTTTCATCACGGCTGATTTGTGTTCCTGGATTCTGATTCGAAGAGGACACTCACTTTGGCCGACGTAATACTTGTTGCAGTTCATACAATTTATTTTGTAAATGGTATTAATTTTATCTTCTTTTCCTGTTGAATCTTTCGGTTTGCATAATATCGAATTAAGTGATTTTACTGGCTTGTGTGCTATATCTATTTCAAACGGTTTCAATATTCTAGATAGAAATAGATATAGCACACAAGCCAACCAACACAATCACTTCATTCGATATTGTGCAAACCGAAAGATCCAACAGAAAAAGGAGATAAAATTAATACCATTTACAAAATAAATTGTATGAACTGTAACAGACATTATATCGGTGGTCGAAGTGGACATCCCCTTCGAATCAGAATCCACGAACACAAATCAGCCGTGATAAAAAGACATGGTATATATTCCTGTTTCATATCAATGCATATAGATAATTATGGACATCAGTTTGATAACTGGGATAATGTCGAAATTTTAGACAGAGGAAACACCAAAAGTGCAGTCAGGGAATTCCTAGAAGCCTGGTACTCGAAGGAATATGCAATTAACAAACACGTTAACATACAGACCACACATATACCAACTAATAAAAAGTAAATTACATGTGACGAGAAAGTTTAAAATCCAAGTCAACAGAAAATGATCAATACACATATGTAAAGATGGTTACCGGGAGACGCAATTCTATCACTCATGAAGAAATTTAAACCAGTTCACTTCACGCTAAAAATTGCGCTGAAGGGGGATGTTGTCCGGTGGTGGGGACGAGGAAAGCTCCACAACCAAACCAACCAGCTCAGAGAGCACTATTAATTACAAAGAAAGATTAAATAATCACCATATGTAATTCCCCACATATAAATATAAAAGAATTAAGATAAATTAAATTTATTACTGATATTCAAGTGTTAGAGTCTGCAGAGATTTGATTGGTTACAGGATTTCATCATGAGTTGACAATCGATTAGAAAACCAACAAAGAGTACTGGACAGCTGTTTTGTCCTTACTTGGGACTCGTTGGGATTCGAATCAAGGACCCTCCGGTAACAAGGCTAGCTACCTACAACTCCACCAGGGATCGAACCCGGGACCTTCCGATTACGAAAAGAAGCTCGTTGACCATTGAGCCAAGCCACTTTGGCTGGAATTCGATGACTCGCGAATTCTAACTTCTGTTAATTATCTCTTCAAACAACTTATTATTATTTATTTCAATGTAAATATCGTGAATGTAATGAAGACAGTAAGTTTTCATCATGAGGTTATAATTGTTATGTTGTAGTTGAGCATCAAGACTAGATGGACTTTCCTTTCCCTTCCCCCCCCCCATCTTTTTTAGAAGCACTGAAAACAAATCCAGAGATCTTAGCAGAAATGCTCATGCCATATGTATGTAGTTTCTTATTGAGCAAATTTATCGGTTTGAACGCCACTTTTACCTCTTCCTGTCTTGTTAAGCATCCTACGTAAATGTATGACAGCACACTGTGGTAATCTAATCAAATCTCACTTCATATTGAACACAAGGTTGAAGGTATTCTCAAATCACTATTTTCAAAAGATAAGAGATTTTGAACCGTAAACAATAGTAATAATACTGCATTCCAATCTGACATAACCAATGAGTTACTTGAACCCAGTTCCTCCCAGGAAAGGTCTTCCATGCTCCAGGCTATAAGAGCTACACCACCTGTTGTTTGACAGGGCTGATAATAGGCACTACACAGTTGGCCAAGCTGAACCAGGTGGAGTATGCCGTATTCCCACCTGAAACCAACTGGATGAAACTTGAGTACTTAAGCCAATCAATCAGCCACACTTCCACTCACCAATTTCTAATTTCAGTTTAACAATCAATATTTATTGTATACTTAAGAAGAAATAAATATTATAGTGTAATTACATTTTCTAAAGCTAGATTGTTTAATTGTGAGGCTTTAATCTTCGTCTTTCTAGTTAAGTTATCACTTCACAAGATGAAGTAGGAATTTTAGAATTCTCGATGAATGTATAAACCGTCTATCCTGATAAGCTCGAACGTGATTGGTAGTCTCGGATTTTCACATAGTCTCTTGTATTGTTGTTGAACTGAAAGTTGATCTTTTGTTCGATACATGTGACATGTTTGATCATGAGCTAACTGAATGGCTGTTTCATCCTTATTTGGGAATCTTCGTTAGTATGCACTCACCGGAGTTCGAACCCAAGGACCTATAGACAATTCGACCACTGGGACCCGATCCAATGGCCGATGAATTCCAACTTCTGCCAATACGCGATAACATAGAGCAACCACCAGCCAGTGTTATCAGTGAGTAACTGTCCAGTGGAGATCAACAGCACTCAGCATCAAAAATAACATCCGGATTTTCAACTCCAATGTGAAGTCAGTGCTACTCACTATACGGATCAGAGACTTGGCGCGTCATAAAGAGCACCTCAAACAAACTACAGACCTTCATCAACAGCTGTCTTCGCTCAATACTTCGCTCAAAATCAGATGGCCAGAAAAGATCAGCAATAGTGAAGGATCTCTGGCAATGAGCGAACCAACCCAGCAGGAACCGATTGTGCAACAAATAAGCAGGAAGAAATGCAAATGGATTGGCCATACTCTGAGGAAACCATCAAGTGACATCACTAGACAAGCCCTCGAGTGAAACCCGAAAGGGAAGTGGCGAGTTGGTCGTCAGTGCAAGGGTGACTTGGAGGAGGTCATGTGAAGAGGAGATGAAAGCATGTGGACAGACTTGGAGCCAGGTGAAGACTCTAGCAGAGAACCGAACGCAATGGAGACTTTTGGCTGAAGCCCTATGTTCCTCTAGGAATTAAAGGAAATAATAATAATAACTGCCCTTTCGCCTGACCTGGTGGACGTCAATGGTCATAACTTCTCATTCGAATTCTGGATAACTTCCTGTATAAAGCCAATCGCTAGTGACCAACCAAATGATTTCCAAGTGTTGGTTTGCAAGGACTTGATTGGTTAAGAAAGATGAGAAAATCTCAAGAAACGACCAATCAGCTTCATATTTTTATCAAGACACACGGTTATTGCACTGGTTGAGAATTTCAAAATGCTCACTCCATCATGAAATAAGCACACAAGATAATGATGTCTGGTAGAAAGATAATATGCGAGCTTCACAATGAAAGCATTCTGAGGAGAGAACGAAACAACTAGCTCCAAAATCACTTGTGGTAGTGTGGTGAGAGCAAGCTGCTAGCCAATTGGTAGACATTGATCTACGCTGATTGGTGGAAATTAATCCAGGCTGATTTAACAACCGATCACAGCTGACCTAGACGTGGACAAATATGATTCGCAGACAAGTGGCTCGCATTTCCGAGAAATATCGAAAACGAGAAAGCAGAAGAAGACTGCCTTTGTTTGCAAACAACCAATCAGAAGACCGCCTTCTTTCTGCGGGCAGAGCCTTATTAATGTACGTAAAAAACATATAAATACCTGTTGGTTTTCGTAATAAAACTGATCTGTTGCCTGGCCCTTGTCTTCTGTTGTTACAGTAGAAGGTGAGTTATCAACTTATCTAAATACGAAATAATGCTGCGTCGTATGATGCATTACATCATATATATATGTATGCAACTCTACGCATCGTCATCACAGAACAAAGCATAGAATGGCAGTTAAACCTCTCTGTACCTGAACTTCATCGACTTCGAAAAGGCATTCACCAGACAGCGTCGACCGTACCGAGAAGTTATTTGGAAACTACTTCAACACTACGACGTGCAGTGCCCAAGACTTTATCAACGTCATTCAACAACTATATGGCAATGCCACGTGTCAAGTGATCCACAACGGAGAACTCAATGAGGTGTTCGCAGTGAATACAGTAGTAAGACAAGCTGGCTGCCTGCCTATTATCACTGATGGTATTCCACATTATGGTGGACTGGATTATGTGTCAGACTGTGCGTGGGAGTGAAAAGGTAGGAATACGCTGGACTGATAAGAATACTCTAGAAGATCTGGATTTCGCAGATGATTCATGTCTAATGGTATACAAACTAGAAGACCTTCAGGCGAAAAACAACAAACTGACAGAAGAAGCGGGTAATGAAGACAGAACTTCAGATGAACACATAGAGAAGATGAAGGTAAGTGATGAAGATAACTAACCACCACCACAACAAGAAACACCCCAACCACTATCATCGTGAGAAATTTAAAAAAAGAGGTCACTTTCTTCACTTATCTAGGTAGCATCTCATTTCAAGTACAGACGATACAGATGAGGATGTTGAAACCAAGATCGGAAAGGCAAGGCAAACCGTAATCTCTCTGAAATCAATTTGGAGAACTGCTGTACTCAGCATAAAGACATAATGTGGATGTTCAACACTAATATCAAGTCATTCAGTCCCTCTAGATTGGTCAGAAACTTGGCGAAGGCATCACGAAAAGCACTTCGAATAGGTTTCAGACTTTTATCAATAGCTGTCTTCGATCCATGCTGAAGAGATCAGATAACCAAAAAGAACCTATCAAAAGCTATCATCGCCGAAGGAAATAGTGATGGATTGAACGTACGTTGGAGAGAGCGTTGAGTGAAATCGTGAGCCAGGCCCTCTAGTGGAACCCGAAAACGAAAAGACAAGTTGGGCGTCCCAGAGTGACATGGAGCAGATCGTATGAGGCGGAAGGAAATGACAGCTTATGGGCAATCCTGGAGCCAACGAAGAAAGACTGTGATAATAACAAAATAATATAACTGACAACTGTATTTATTATTAAATGAACAAATGGAGCGAGAGGGAGACAGAAAAAAGAAAAAAGCCTCTACCCACCTTGTCGTTACGTTCACAGAGGAATTTGAATTTCTGTTCACGTTTATGCATGAATACACCATCCAGATGGCCAGTTTCAGCTGATCTAACTTCGATAGCCTTTAAACCCCAACCAAGTAATTGGCCAGTGGATATATAAGCCACACAGGTTGGCACTTCACCCCATTGTATAACAACATTTTTAGTTAATTTACCATTGGTATCTACATAGACACCTTCAGCTATAGAAAAAGAAAGCACAAGTTTAAAGGGAAAGAAAATATTACGTAATAGTGGTTTTATACTGATCAATAAAAACATGAAGCAGTTATAATCACATGTATACATATAATTATTAAGTTAGGCATAGAGGTGTGTACAGACTCGAACACTAGTGACGACTATTCAACTGAGATAACAATAATAAGTAAGATATAACTGAAGTGGGAATTAACATTCTAAGTATGAGTAATAGTAGATTCAAAATTTTCAGGCACCAAATTCTTGATACACCGTAATCGATTTCAGCACAAATGATGAAAGGACCTTAAATCACCGACCTTTGTCTCTCTCTCGCATAATCCACAGATCTTCTTCCAGGAAGTCTATACGACTAACAAGAATAATAAGTCTATTGTTCAGTCTAATTTTTCGCATTGATGTCAATTAGAGAATCACTAAAAACCTCTACCTCAACTTTATAGACTTTGAGAAGGCCTTCGACAGCGCAGCGTTGACCGCGAAGTAATTTGGAAACTACTCGAGTACTACGGTGTACCCCAAATATTCATCAACCTTATTCAACAGCTGTACGACAACGGCACATGTCAAGTGATCCACAACGGAAAACTCAGCGAGGCGTTTGGAGTAAACACAGGAGTCAGACAAGGGTGCTCACTATCACCAATGATATTCATAATTGTGGTGGACTGGATTATGCGTCAGACAGTGGGAAACGAGAAGACAGGGATATCCTGTCCTGACCGACGTGAAGAACCTAGAAGACCTGGATTTCGCGCGTGGATGATTTATGTTTGATGTCACACAAAATCGAAGACTTACAAGCGAAAACCAACAAACTGGTCGAAGAAGCAGCAAAGACAGAACTGCAGGTGAACATAGACAAGACGGAGGTTACGAAAATAACCAACAACAACAACAACGACAGCAGCTACATCCAGCACCCATCACCATCAACGGGAGGGATTTGAAAGAGGTCACTTCATTCACTTATCTAGGGAGCATTGTCTCAACCACAGGAGGAACGGACGAGGATGTCAAGTCGAGAATCGGGAAGGCGAGAAACACATTCATCAACCTGAAACCAATCTGGAAATCTTCGTCACTCCTCAACATCAACAAAAAAATTCGGATTTTCTATACAAACGTCAAGTCAGTTCTTCTATACGGATTAGAAACTTGGCGGGTCACAAAGAATATTTCCAACAGCCTGTTGCAGACCTTTATCAACAGCTGTCTTCGCTCTATACTGAAGATCAGATGGCCGGAAAGAATAACAAACAAGAAACTATGGGAACAAACAAAACAAGAACCAATCGCCCAACAAATACGCAGGAGAAAGTGGAGATGGATTGGACACTCGCTGAGCTGAGGAGGCCGCTGGGTGACATCGCTTGTCAGGCCATAGCTCGAGTGGAACCTGAAAGGGAAGCGGCGAGTGGGACGTCCAAGGGTGACATGGAGGAGATCGTGTGAAGAGGAGTTGAAACAGTATGGAATAATATGGATGCAAGTGAAAAGTACAGCAGAAGACAGAAGCAAGTGGAGACGTGCAGTTGAAGCCCTATGTTCCACTAGGAACTCAAGGGAACAATAATAATAATAAAAACATCAGGGAGTACTAGACAGTTGTTTCATTTGAGTTTGGACTCTTCACAAGTACGCAAACCCATGACGCCAGGGCCCCTTGACCATAATGACCCTTGGACCAGAATCCAATGGCCCATGAATTTTAATTCCCTCTATACACGATTCTAGCACAGCCACCAGCTAGTATTTGTCCTCACTCCCGACCTGGTGGACCTCACTCACTGGTCACAAGTTATCACTAGAACTCCCGTCAACTTCGTCTTGTAGAGCTAGTTAATTAGTGAGCATCAGATACATTTTCTAGTGTTATTTTGTAGTGATTTGATTTGGTCCAAGTTTGATCACGGATTGATATCAGTTAAAGAACCATTTAAAACCAAAAGGGAGTACTGGACAGCTGGATATTAGTTTGGCAATTGCACTGAAATCGCGAATTTATAGAAGTTAGAATCCGTGGGGTCATTGAATTCCTGCTCAAGTGGTTGAATGGTAAAATGTAGTCACCATTTTAGATTAGACGAAGAGGTAGACACCGGTGTCCATAGCATACACATGCCAATTCATTTACCTATTGGTTTTACCACCACATGGGGATGACCCTACGCTGGTAGATGATGGGATAGATATACTTACGACCTCTCATGTTCGACAATCATCAGATCTTAGAGGCATATTCACTTTCTTTTTAATCATTATTCAAACATTTCACACATCTGACTACTAAAATATTCTTCAGAAACCTTTAATTGGGTAGGACACTAATTTACACTGATTGGTCTTTTAAAATGAAGTCTCTCTGTCAGTTTCTTTTTGACTGGATATGACTTATTTTCATCGCTTTGTGTGTGCTTTGAGTGAGCGTCGGTGGCACAGGGGTAGAATGCTAGTCAACCACGCAGGTGGTTCGAGGTTCGATCCCTAGCCGACGTACTCCTTTACCTAGCTAAGCCAGCAATACGACTGGTAAAGAGGGAAGGTTGGTTATGAGGCTAGCAACCGCCTCCCATAAAAATAAATACCACCGCTACCGAAACTTCAAAGCTCTAGCTTGAAGCCCTATGTTCCACTGGGAATGTAAAGGAAAAGACGGGTTACCTAACCTGTCTTATGCTCTGATGGTGTTCTCGTGACTTTTGTTGCCAGATCTGCCAAGGGCGATGGGATAGTACGCAACCTAATGGTTGTGTGCAAGGTTTGAAGAAGGCTGTGTGCTATATGCATGCGCCTCGCCCTGATAATGTTTGGGCGTCGGTGGCACAGCGGTTAGGACGCTCGCCGACCATGCACATGGTCCGGGGTTCGATCCCCGGCCGGCGCACTCCTTTACCTCACTAAGCCAGAAATAAAGCTGGTGAAGAGGAAAGGTTGAGGATGAGGCTAGCAACCCCATCCCGTAAAACTAAACACTTCTACAGAAACTCCAAGATTCTAGCTTGAAGCCCTATGTTCCACTAGGAACGTGAAGGAATAAAAGAAAAGAGTGAAACAAAGGGGGCTTTAAGTTTGAGCGTTGAAATCTCAGTAATGATAGTGCTGATTTTACGGGGGGGGGAGCGGGGAGGAGTTGCCGACCTTCCCTCTTTTCTATGCTTACTACCGGCTAGTAGGAGTGCGTCGGCCGGGAAACGAGGATGAATTGAACATGATCGCCTTCTCTTTAATCAATAACAAAACGATGTGAAAAACGTCGTTTCAACTACAGGCAGATGGCACGGATGAGGATGTCAAAACCAGTCAGAATTTGAAAGGCAAAACAGACATTCATCACTCTGAAATCCAGTTTGGAAATCTTCTGCACTCCGCAGCACAAAGAACAAGATTCAGCTTTTCGGCAAATGTGAAGTCAGTCAGTTCTTCTATACAGGTCAGAAATTTGGCGCATCATGTAAAGGATTTCCAACAAGTTAAAGACTTTTATCACCAGTTGTCTTTGCTCTATATTGAAGGATCGATCAGAAAGGCAGAAAGAATTAGTAACAAGAAAAACTATGGGAACAAGCCAACCAAGAGCCTGTTTGTTATGATGCTGGATCCTTTGTCACGCGGTCACTGCTTAGCTACTGACCAGTACCCACTTAACTGGTAAAGCAGAACACGAAGAGAATCAACTGTAAAACCAGGTTCATTTATTATGACAAAAGTGACTGTATTTATACAGAAAATAAGGTAGACTGGAAATCAACCAATCCGGTTGAGAGTTTGAATTGTGCAAGC